GGAAACTTGAATCCATCAATAGATTAAACCATTCACTAGGCAAAAGTCTTCACCATTTAATGGTCTCCAGAAATATCCTCATGGACACACCAAAGGCATGCTTTATTAATCTTTTATGTATCTCTTAATCCAATCAAGATCACCTATCACATTGGGCTTGAAAATGCAAGGATCATAGTAGACATACCCCGTAAGTGCAAACATTTTTAGATGGTTGTTTTTTGTTTTTTGGGTTTTTTTTTGGTTTTTCGAGACAGGGTTTCTCTGTGTAGCTTTGCGCCCCTGGAACTCGCTTTGGAGACCAGGCTGGCCTCGAACTCACAGAGATCCGCCTGGCTCTGCCTCCCGAGTGCTGGGATTAAAGGCGTGCGCCACCACCGCCCGGCTTAGATGGTTGTTTTGATTAGCAGCAGATGTACATACAGTTGTGGGAAGGAGGGAGGGAGGAATGGGGGTGGACCCACATTCAGTCAACAAAGATGGATTTATACAGAGGCAGAACCAGAAATTGTCCTACCAGGCCTGGCCCAGGAGCCTGACCTTCCTGTTCCAGGGAATGGTGGTGAATGCCTTTAATCCGGGCACTCAGGAGGCAGAAGCAGGTGGAACTCTGTGAGTTCCAGGCCAACCAAGGATACACAGTGAAAACTTGCCTCAAAACAACAACAATATAGGTAATAAAAGATTCCCACCTGCCCAGCTAGAATCCAGTGTTTGGTGTAGATGGAACCGGAGCCCCAAATATCCTGGACATGAACTTTAACACTGACCCACATGCAAGGCCTTAAAATGGGTGGAATGCACCCTGGAGGCCCTTGCTCCTGGTCCAGGCTCTGAATGACTCAGGCTTTATCAGCCTTGCCTCCACAGCCCTGTCAAATCACACAAAGCAATCAGTAGTGCCTGAAGCTCCCAACCTGGAAGGCTGCAATCCCATCCCCAGCAGCTGCCTGGAGCAGCAGAAGAGACTGTTGATTACACACGCAGCTTTGTGAGCTTCTCTCTTCACTCATCTGTGAATAGTCCCTTCCCTTCCTTTCCCAGGATGCCTTGGAAAAGGCAATGGGAGGCCCGAATCCTTCAGAAAGTAAGTACGAACTCCCTATATTGTGGAATATTAGTTTAAGAATGAATGTCTTACCTTCATTTATACTATGGAATATTTGTTTAATGATGCAAAGATGGGTTGCATTCTTTTATGTTGCATATGTTTTTGTTTGTTTTGTTTTTCCTTTTTTTTTTTTTTTTTTTTTTTGGTTTTTCGAGACAGGGTTTCTCTGTGTAGCTTTGCACCTTTCCTGGATCTCACTCTGTAGACCAGGCTGGCCTCAAACTCACAAAGATCCACCTGCCTCTGCCTCCCGAGTGCTGGGATTAAAGGCGTGCACCACTACCACCAGGCTTGTTTTGTTTTTCCAAGACAGGGTTTCTCTGTGTAATAGCCCTGGTTGTCCTGGAACTCACTTTGTAGACCAGGCTAGCCTCTAACTCACAGAGATCCACCTGCCTCTGCCTCCCAAGTGCTGGGATTAAAGGTGTGCACCACCATGCCTGGATGTTGCATTTGTTTAACTCTGTGAAGCTGTGCTACTTTGCCTGTCTAAAACACCTGATTTGGACTAATAAAGAGCTGAATGGCCCATAGCTAGGCAGGAGAAAGGATAGGCAGAGCTGACAGGCAGAGAATAAATAGGAGGAGAGAAGGGAAAAAAAAGGAAGAGAAAGAAAAGGAGGAGAGGAGGACGCCAGGGGCCAGCCACACAGCCACATAGCCACACAGCCACACAGCCACACGGCCACACAGCCACACGGCCACACGGCCACACAGCCAGCCACAGAGTAAGAAGGAAAGAAAGAGATATTAAACAAAGAAAGGTAAAAAGCTCAGAGGCAAAAGGTAGCCAGGATAACTTAAGAAAAGCTGTCTAGAAACAAGCCAAGCTAAGGCTGGGTATTCGTAAGAAAGAATAAGCCTCGGTGTATTTATTTGGGAGCTGGGTGGCAAGTCCCCAAAGAGTAAAAGAGAAAAAAAAAACCCTTACATTCATATTATACAGTTGGGGGTGAGGGTGGGTCCTTTGGACAAGCCTTTGACCTTGCTATGATTCAGAGCCATTCAGTCATATATGCATTCCTTCACTCAAAACACACTCAATGAACCCCTAAAGACAACAAAAAATGTTGTGTGATAGGCAAAGCGCAGAGCAAATCCTAAGCAGAGAAAGGAAATGTTGGTAAGGGCAGCTGTTTCTTGAGATGCAGTTTAGTGTCGTGGATGAGAGCATAGGCCTTGGAGGCCAAATCCTGACTTTGTAACTTATTAGGTGCACAACCCTGAGAAGAAGCAGGAATACTTTTTTTTTTTTAATTGTTTAAACTGTTTGGACTAATGGCTCGGGCTTCTAGCTATCCAGTTCTTACATCTTAAATTAATCCATTTTTATAAATCTATACCTTGCCACGTGGCTCATGGCTTACCGGTATCTTCACATGCTGCTTGTCATGGCAGCAGCGGGCAGTGTCTCCTCCCACCTTCCTGTTCCCTCAATTCTCCTCTCTGTTAGTCACACCTATACTTCCTGCCTGGCCACTGGCCAATCAGTGTTTTATTTATTGACCAATCAGAGAATTTGACATACAGACCATCCCACAGCACTTCCCTCCCTTTTTTTTTTTTTTTTAAAAAGGAAGGTTTTAACTTTTACACATCTCCAAAGCCAGCTTGGTATATTTGGGAATGTGGGCGTAGCTTCTCTTACTACTTCCTGCTGGAGAGGGGGCACTGTATCTCATGGAGACACAAAGAAAAATTTAGGATTATGGAGTAGTCTGTGAGGGTGTATCGTCTGAGCCAGTTGCCTTGAATCCGATCTGGATGTTGGATTATCTGGGCCATGGTGTCATCAGAGATCTTTCAGGGGGTCTTGGCTGGTCAAACCTGATGTATCTTAATCTGGAACAAATCCATAGCCTCTGGCTTTCTGTGGAAACAAAAGCAGAGCCTCCTTTCCAAAGCAACATATCCTTACATCCAAATTTTGAAGTCAAGGTACCTTTAAAATATACATTTTGGCATAACTCAACAGCTTTTGCAATCAAATGTTTTTCTTCAGTTACGAATATCAAAGAGAACATAATCCAGATTCTCTGTGTGGTAGCCATCTTTACGTGGCTTATTTTTTATATTACCTTGAACCTACTGCTTTAAACTGCAGCATTTTAAGACTGAAACAGCGCTGTGGCTGCTGGCTCCGCCCACTTCAGCTTCCCAACATGGCGGTGGTACGTTTTCCGCCAGCTCTGGGAGCCATCAACTCTCAGAAATAGTGGGTCTATGCTTCTATCAAAGCAGTATGTAGCCCAGAAACCTCTTTTTTTTGTTTTGTACTAGCAAAGGCTAAATCCACCACACAGCTTAATGTGCCACTTGCAGAGGTCTCATTCCCGCCATACTGCAGGTCGAGCGCAAACGCCAGGAACCCGCCAGTAGCTCAAACACACAGTCAGGCTGCTGCTAACTTGAAAGAGACAACTAGGAACTGTTTTTAGCTCTGTTTTAGAATCTTTTTTCTCAGGTTTTAGGTTGAAACTCTCCCCACATTGGGTGCCATTTGTAGCTGGAGTTTTTTCCAGTCCTGCCTGGTCCACAGTCAGGACAAATCTCTCTCATCCGCCAGTCCCACAACCACTTTGACCCAACTGAGTAAACACATAGAGACTTATATTGTTTAAACTGTTTGGCCTAATGGCTCAGGCTTCTAGCTATCCAGTTCTTACATCTTAAATTAATCCATTTCTATAAATCTATACCTTGCCATATGGCTCATGGCTTACTGGCATCTTCACATGCTGCTTGTCATGGCGGCGGCTGGCAGTGTCCAAGCAGGGATATTTTTGAGGTTATTGTGGGGTTAGAATAGAGTAGATGCCCGATAAAGAGCTACCATAGGAGGGAGGCAGTGTGTAGTGGGGTGTTCCTGGGCAACAGGAGGGCAGGGTGTTGAACAGTGACGAAGGAAGAAGATGCAGGATTTATATGCAATTCCCTTTGGCCATTGCACACCCTGTGGACAGAAGAGGAGGCCAGTACACTGGGACACTGAAGGTTATGAACAGCTTAAAGAACAGTACGGTGACACAATTTTCACAAGACAGCACGCACACCTAGCACCAGCTAACACCCCCTAAATTTAGAGTCACAATTGGTGAGGTCAAATGACAGGGTCTCCAAAGTTGGGGAGCCAGCTCTGGGGATTTGCTTCGCTGTTGGCTTGTGTTCTAGACTCTGCTCATCTAGAAAAGTCCATTCCTGCTGTCTATGGCTGTGATAAAATGGACCAAAACCAACTTGAGAGGAAAGGGTTTATTTGGCTTATATGTCCAGATCACAATCTATCACTGAGAGAAGCCGAGGCAGGAACTCAAGCAGGGCAGGAACCTGGAGACAGAAACCGAAGCAGAGGAATGATGCTTACAGGCTTGATCCTCATGGCTTGCTCAGTTTGTTTTTAACACATCTGAGGACCACCTGCACAGTGGTCATGCCACCCACAATGAGCTGGACCCTTCTGCATCAATCATGAATCAACAAAACGCCCTCACAGAGTTGCCTACAGACCAATCTAGTGGAGGCATTTTCTCAGCTGAGGTTCCCTCTTCCCAGATGACTTTAGCCTGTGTCACTGACAACAACAACAACAACAAACAACAAAAGCCTAGCCAGCATACTTGAGTGTCCCTGGAAGCAGTTGAGCCCTGGAACCAAGAGGAGCCATTTCCTTTCATAGGAACTGGAGAACACACATCTCCAGAAAGCCAGAGTGAAGCTAGCTTCAAGATTAGGAGAGGGCTGAACGTGGCGGTGCATGCCTTTAGTCTCAACACTTGGGAGGCAGAGGAAGGTGACTCTCTGTGGGTTCAAGGATAGCCTGGTCTACATGGTAAATCCCAGGACAGTGAGGACTATGTAGAGAAACCCTGTCTCCAAGAAGAAGAAGAAAAGACTAGGATAGGCCTCTAGTCAGGTGGCCAATGAGGAGATGGACGCAGAAGCCCCAGACAGGCTGATCAGGTTCATGATCACTGTCCCGAGCTTCTTTGGTCCTATTTGGAAGTGAGGACCACTGAGGGCCAAGACTTCACCCAACACAAATGGAGCTGAGGAGAATCTTTGCTGGGAGGATGTGAAGGAGAGCAAGGGTCAGAAGCCGTCAGCCCCAAGCTAAGGACAAGCAGGCACTGAGGCTCTGAGGACCATTTCAAGTGAGAGGAGCCTCACTGGAGGAGCTGTCACTTGGGAGGACAGGGGTCAGGGCGCCTCCATTCTCGCTCCGTTGACTTGGCTCACTTCGTGCAACTTCTCCTTGGCCTCTGTTTGTTTTCAATAAAAGAAGATGGTTTTATTAATAAGACCTCAGAGGTCCTTCACAGCTTAGAATTGTAACATCTCAACTCTACCAATGCCTGAGCTGTTAGGACTTGAAGTGTTGGGATGGGATCTAAATACTAAAAGGAACTCCAGAATAGCTAGGTCTGAGAAAGGGTGTGGTGGTTAATGTCAACTTGATAGAATCTAGAATCACCTGGGAGACAGGCCTCTGAAAATGCCTATAGGGGATTCTCTCTCTCTCTCTCTCTCTCTCTGATTTATTTTATGTGCTTTTAGTATTCTGCCTGCATGTGTGTGTGTGTGTACCTTGTGTGAGCCCATGAAAGAGGGTGTTGAATGCCCTGAGTTGGGAGTGGTTGATAGCTGTCATGTGGGTACTGGGAATTGAACTTGGGTCCTCTGCAAGAACAAGTGCTCTTAATGGCTGAGCTATCTTTCCATCCCTCTAGGGATTGTGATTATCTTGACGGCATTAATTGAGGCAGGAAAATCTTTCCACTTGGGTGGCACCATTCCCTGCCTGGAATTCTGGACTGTATTCGTGATAAGGAGGCTGAGCAGCAGCGGCAGCCATTTCTCTGCTTCCAGATGGATGTGATGTGAACATCTGCTTCAAGCATCTTTTACCTTGACTCCCCACCGTGGGGGACTGCACCCTTGAACAGCAAGCCAAAGGTAAGCCCTTTCCCCCTTCAGTTGCTTTTGTCAGAGTATTTTAATTACACTAACAGGTAAAGAAATGAATACAAGTCGGGCATTGGTGGTGCACACCTTTAATCCCAGCACTCGGGAGGCCGAGCCAGGTGGATCTCTGTGAGTTCGAGGCCAGCCTGGTCTACAGAGTGAGATCCAGGACAGGCACCAAAACTGCACAGAGAAACCTTGTCTTGAAAAACCAAAAAGAAAAAGAAAATAAAATAAAATGAATACAAAGGGCCATTCACAGCTCTCAACCCTCAGGTCATGTGAGTGCTTCCAAAGATGTAGGGAAGGAATATGGGGGAAAAGTAATGGAGGCAGGTAAGGCAGATGGCCTGCCCAAGCTCCTGACACCTCCAGAGCAAATTAAGTTAGCTTTCTTTCGTTTTTCTCCTAACTCATGCTACCTTGGGAGCCCGTGGAAAAGCTGCATTATAATCGATAGCCTCATAAATAAGTGAAGAGGCGACATAAAACACCGTGCTTCCAGTACAGGGCTTCCTCGGGAGAATGGACCTCGACCCACTTCTGCTCAACATCCTGACTTTCTTCGGCAGTTTCCGAAGGGAGAGAACTCTTAAGAGTCATCTCAGGCATGCCTCCGCTTCTGTGCTGGCCTCTATGCGCCCTCATCCAAGAGGTCAAGAGCTGAGACATGCGCTTTTTCCTACCACGCCACCCAGGTGAGGACACCCTCTCCTATCAGTCTCCCATCGGCAGGCTGCACCCACCCTTCATCATGGCCTCCTTTATTCTCTCCCTCCTGGTACGCTCTGCCCTCTGTGTTCAGCTCTGGCCTTCTGTTTCTCACCTCCTCAGACTTCGTGACTTTCTTTGGACAATGGCTTAGAGCACATAGAATCAGCAGGAAGAGGAAAGCAATTGACCCCCACTCCTCTGTCCCCCATTATAACCATCTCAGAAGCCTTCCTGTGGATTGTAAATGAGAAGGTCTGAAGGAGAGAAATGCATTTCTGAGCATAAGACACTAAGACTCCAGTAACTGACCTCACAAAACAGCCACGTATGAACCAGCGAGTTGACAGGAAGGCATTTCTTTTTGTCCATGACTTATCCACGGCTGTAGGAGGCATGGAGGTCTTTGAGCTCACTATAAGCACTTAGGGAATGTGGAATGTTAGCACACAGGGTTGTTCCTTCAAGGAGAGGAATGCAATACATGTTATCTGCCCAGAAAGCTGGAGCAGATGTGCCCTAGCCCGGTGACCACTGCACTACCGTGTAGCCAGAGATTTTTCCGGCACCAGATCCTCCCCCAGACCCTATCATAAGCTTGTTTTTCTCAGTCAATCTACAGAACCCATCTTGATGGACTTTACAAAGAGTTTTGATGGAGTCACGTCTGGTGTGTGTTTAGCTGACTTTGTTCCTCAAGGAGATGTATGTATGCTTTGTTGTGCATGAGGGATTGAGTTAATCAGCAGCAGAATAGTTTTCACCAAATTGTCCTGTGCTTAAATGTGTTTAAAATAAACCACTTGGGCTCAGACTCCTGAAGTCCGAACCGATGCCGGCTACTGAGTCGCGTTGACCCTGACTGCTTTCTTGCTTCTCTCCAGCCTGGTAAGGCCAAAGAGACCCCTGAATACTGCAACAAGAACAAACCTCCATCAAACCCCCCAGACCAAAATGGTGACCATTCCCGTGTGGAGACAGACAACAACCTTCTGAGTGCGCCTGGAAACTCCTCGGAGCTCTCCTCTGCTTTGCTGCCTCAGTTTCCCTCCACTCTGGCCATGGCGTGAGTTGTCCCCAGAACTAAAGGCTGTTCAGTGTTGCTGGGATGGTTAGCATGTAGAAAGGAGTTGTAGGGTTATGCCAGCCCTCTTTGTCCTGGTGAATTCCTTTAAGTCTCTGACTAGGAGACCTCTCATTTGCTCTTGTCTGATCTGTGCATGTGATGTTTGGAATGAGGTTTCCCTGTGAGTTACCATGGCAGGGTTTTACTCACGTGGACCACTCTGATGCAACATCCTAAGTCATCTATCCTTTTGTTTGTTTTTTGTTTGTTTGTTTTTGGGGGTTTTGTTGTTGTTGTTGTTGTTGTTGTTTTGAGACAGGGTTTCTCTGTATAGCTTTGCGCCTTTCCTAGATCTCGCTCTGTAGCCCAGGCTGGCCTCAAACTCACAAAGATTCGCCTGCCTCTGCTTCCCAAGTGCTGGGATTAAAGGCATGCGCCACCACCGCCTGGCTGTTTTTTGTTTTTTTGAGACAGGATTTCTCTGTGTAACCTTGGCTGTCCTGGAACTCACTCTACAGACCAGGCTGGCCTCAGACTCAAGAGATCTGCCTGCCTCTGCCTCCCGAGTAATGGGATTAAAGCTGTCCTCTTATCTGAAGGAGGCCATCAGGATGATACCTCTGTAACTCCCCATCAGCCCTCCCCAGCACACATGTGATCAACAGTGTTGTTCTGAGACAGCTATACTGTGCTTCCCAGCCCCAGCACTGAGGATGTGGGCTTGATTGTCCCAGGATGGTGCTCTGCCTAGGAGGCAGTTGGCAACCAGGCATTTGGCTCTGGCTTGATCTGACAGAAAGTAGCTTTAGTACCCCCAGGAAGTGGCACAGAATTATCTGTCTGGTCCCTTGCAACAGGCAAAAGTGGCCAGTAGCACAGTTTAGCAGACCTGGAAAGCTGGTCACTAGTTTACAAAGCTGCTTTGAGACCTGCTCCATTGTAGCCCAGGCTGGCCTTGAATTCCTGATCCTCCTAACCTCAGCCTCCTAAATGTTGAGAGTACAGGTGTGCATACCATGCCTGGTAGTAAACAATGGATTCCTGACCCTACAATCTATAATACCTGGACCTAGTGGTCCCTGCCCCTAATCCCAGCACTCAGGAGGTGGGTACAGGAGGACCAGGAATCAGAAGTCAAGCAGGATTACTCAGTGAATTCAAGAGTCTCAAAGAACACCAAGGACTAGAAATGGAGCTTGGTAGGAGGGCACCTGCCCAATACACCACAGCAACACACACACACACACACACACACACACACACACACACACAGAAACAGACACACACAGACAGACAAACAGACAGAGACAGATATAGAGTGACACAGCAACATTTGGTCTTAGCTCTTACAGCCAAAAGTTCCAGGCTACTCAAGCACAGAGGCCCACACTGAGAGTACCTAGCCCTTGCTCTCCAGTAGGGCCCTGAGGTCCGGCCCCAGGCTCCTGGCTCTACCCAGAAACACAGGCTGGGGCTGGCGCCCAACACATGGGTTGTGGCTGTCACCAGAGAGGAGCTGGCAGCCGACACAGCAGACTATGTTTTCTTTGCAGGCTGAGGGTAACCGGAGGAAGCTGAGAAGTCTGCTCTGCTTCGAGGACGAGAGGAATAGAGGATCAGAGCACCAGGCAAGGCCAGCAGCTTGCCGAAGGGAGGAGTCCTCTAACCTCTAAGACAAATATGGAGTGGAGACCAAAGATGGGTGGGGTCCTGTTAGGGGCTATTCAAGTGTGTCGTGGTGGTAGCTAGCACTTATTAAATGTCCTGCACTAACCACTATGCCCAAAGCTAGGTTATACTAGGAAGTCAGTGTGTACAGAGGCTGGGAACATCAGCCTACCAACACACAACTGGGCTCAAGTCTTTGACTTTGCTCCTCACTAGCTCTGTGACCTTGAATAAGTTACTTAAGGACCCTGTGTCTCACTTGCTTCATTAAAAAAAATGGGAATGCTAATAGCAGCACCCATAGAAACCAAAGATCAAGAGCATTGCCATCCATAAAGCTCTTAGGACATTGCCCGTAGTAAGCTTTGGCTATTCTGATTCTGTTGAATCTTCACACAAAGCTCTGAAGTAGATCTCATTAACTGTCGAGGCTCCGGGAAGCTGAATGACTCTCCTGAGATCCCCAGGTCTGTTTGATTGACAGAGCATGAGTGCCCTTCTAAGTGCCCCTAGCTGTCCCCATCTTTAGGAGGAAGTAGATTAGCAATAGATAGCTACCTTGTGTCCCATAGCCATTCTGGCTTGGAAACCACTGCCTCTACTCCAGACCTGGAACAAAAGTGATCTCCACCCTGCCTCCGAGGCCTGCTGGATTGCCCCCTGGGCCCAGCCCACAGGTCCCTCCCACTGACTATGGCAACAGCCAGAACTGGGAGCCTCCTAGGTGCTACACGTGCATCATCAGCCCCAGGCCTCCCTTAGGGCCTCTACCTTCAAACCACAGCATCCCCACCCCACCCTCACCCCAGGTGGGAAGCTGGCGGCTCAGCCTGGAGGGACCCTTTTAATTTCCAGGATAAACAGACTGTCATCCTGGCCTAGCCCTCTGCGGGCTTGCTGCTCCCCGCCCCCCTCAATCCGCAGTGCACAGCCCGCTCTGTTCTCCTGCCAACTTGGCAGCTCGCTGCTGCTGCTGTTACTATCAACACCTCTGAGGGAAAAGGGAGAGAAGTCGGCTCTGATCGCCTAGTGCACTGAGCCACAAATGCACGTTGAGCCAGAGCACTCTGGAATGTCTCCCAAGCTCCGAAGGCTCCGGGTTGGGCAAGGTGGGATCCGTGTTACGGAAAACAGATAGGACTGGGGATCAGCCCTGGGTCGGATCTGAACAGCCCCCTAGCAGGGCCACTGGAACCAGGCGAGGACACAAGAACCCTCCCCCGCCGCCGCCGCAGCCCCCACCAGGGAGTGCCGGGCTGGGTGGGTGGGTGGGGGTGGGTAGGAAGAGCTGCTGAAGGCTGCGGCTGGGGCCTCGGAGGCAAAGGCGGTAAATGGATCTTGTTTTCTCCTCGGCCCTTGCCACAGTCCAAGGAATGTGGATGGCTTCAATTCAAGAGATGGTGGATCAGGATTTTGTGGTCTGAACAGGAAAATGTTTTGTTTTGTTTTGTGGTCGTTTTTCATTTTTTTTTTTTCTTTAGACTGTCAGTTTAGCAATGTGTGGACTGGGTCTTTTCCTTTCGTCATCCTTGGACTCCTCTCCCAGTTTAGACTGGGAGCCGGAGGGAGCTCACTTTCTTAGCAGTTGGAAGCTTTCCAGGGTCAACCTTATCTTTTACCCCCTCACCCCCTCAGCTCCACGCAGGCCCAGCCCATTGACTTCAGGAAGCTCCGGGTGCCTGTCTCTGTCTCCGGCTAGGACTCCCGGGGGCCCAGTCGTCAAGAACCAAGAACTTCTTCAAGGACACAAGGCACAGTCTGCTGATAGGTCAGTCACCCATGTCCTACAGGACCAAGAGATGGTCTCTGTGCAGCCTTTCCCAGGGGGAAGGCCTTTCCAGCATTCTCCCTGCTAGCTAAGGTAAAGCCTGTACTTCCTGCCCCAGGGCCTTTGGTATCAGCCACGGTGATTGGCTCAGGGACGCACCTAAATCCTATACCAGCAGGCTGCCCAATCCACCCAAGGATGTGGTCCCGGTTCCTAGCCCCTTATAGTCAGCCTGTTTGCTTTTCTATAACACACAGAGAACTTCAGGCACTTCAAGGGGCTACAGACTACAGGGATGAAGACGTAAAAATGATGTCTGTATACTGACTGGGTTGTGCTCTCCTCTGCGTTCTTCCCTCTGCCCTCTCCAGATGTGCCCTCGCCCAGATGTGAAACTGATAGTAAGATTATTTCCAGCCCCAGGGATCTGAAAACCCTCACCCTCCTGCTAAGAACTACCCAGCTCCCCAGAAAACCTTCAGACTATCCCGGGGCCTGGCCACAAGAAAGAACTCACTCTGCAAGCTGGAATGGAAATAAACCCCGAGAGGCTGCACCTGTGAGCAAGCCCTCAGATGATGCCCTGTCAGCGTTTCCATGACAAACTCATATTTCCGGATGCTTCTCTTCCAGCTTGAAGAGCATGCCTCTCGGCGAGGCTTGATACTGAAAATGCATTCATAATTTTTTTCCCAAAAAAAGATTGCACGCTCCATAAAAATTTACACTCTCCGTATATGTTTTTGCTCTTTATTCTGAGAGTTTTGGAGTTTAACATTTGTTATGGGTTACATGAAGATATCTGAAACACACATTGGCAAGGGCTGTGGTGCAGAACTACTGATGAATATATTCTACACAATGTGGTAAGACCTACCCCTGCAGGAAGACATCTTCTGCGACCATTTGCTTGTCTCAAGGCCTGAAATTCCAGTAGTGTTTTCTACTTTTGTGCTTGAAAGAGTCCCCAGCCCCAAGTGTCCACTGTAACAATGCACATCCCTCTAACAGGCGTCTCTGGAAGGCTCCCAGCTGATAAGGATGAGTAGAACAATTGTGAGGCATCTGGAAGGTCAGGAGAAGGGCAGAAAGGGCCATAAAATAGAAGATGGAAGTTTCTGGACAGGTTACATATTTTATAGTTTGGTAGGCTTACCTCTAAGACACGTGTATGCATGCATTCACACACAGAGACACACGCTTGCATAGAGAGGCAGAGAAAGAGGTGCACACAGAAAGAGACAGAGGCACTGGAGCAAGCAGACGTGGAGATGTGCTCGTGCACACACGGAGAGGTGCTCGTACACACGTGGAGAAGTGCTCATGCACACATGGAGAGGCACTCCTGCACACAGAGACAGAGACGAAGGCAGAGACATGCATGCATTCACTCACCACAGAGAGAGAGAATGGTCCTCCGCCCTCCACCTGGGCTGCGTCACACTGACCATTCCCACAGCTAAAAAAAAAAAAAGTTTCAATAACTGAAAGTAACTTTAAAAGGAATTTCAATCATTTTATCTTTTAAATTGTTTTAGATAGTCTCATGTAGCCAGGCTGGCTGCAGACTCTGTTTCTCCCACATCCACTTCCAAGCATTACACGTGAGTGGGCCACTATATCCAGCTTAGGGTTTGTTTGTTGTTGTTGTTTTTTTGACACAGGGTTTCTCCGTGTAGCCCTAGCTGTCCTGAAACTCGATTTGTAACCCAGGCTGGCCTCAAACTCACAGAGATCCTCCTGCTTCTGCCTCCCGAGTGCTGAGATTAAAGGTGTGTGCCACCACCACCCGGCTCCAGCTTAGTTTTGTATTTCCCTATTTGTTTTCTTTTCTTCCTTTTTTTTTCTTACTTCTTTTTTAAGTTTGTTTAGTTTTATCTTTTGAAGTGATAGGGTCACTTTGCAGTGTTTTCTTAAAGTTCCTTTCTCTCATATCCAGAGCTTTCACATGCCCAAAGCTACCATTCTCTAGCACTCTAGCATCTCCACAAGGTCAAAACAGAAAACTCAGTTATGTCCCAAAAGAAGACCAAGTGAGCCATCAGCAAACTCCAGCGATTCTGGAAAAGCCTTTCCCTACCCTAAATCCACATACATTCCTGCTCCCATGCCTGAACTGATCACACTTGAGCACACTGTCTTCGGGCTTGACACACCATTGGAAGGGAAGGGTAACTTTGCCTTAAGCCCAAGTGTAAATATGGCTTCCTGAAAGAGGTTGAAATTGATTAATATTTCCATTATGTACAAGATGCTGCACTAAACCCACTGGACGATGTTTCAGTCCTAGCTCTTACCCTTGAGTATGAGTACACTGAGTACCAAGAGAAGGAAGAAAAACGCTGAGAACTGGGGAAAGATGTACCCAAAGTGGGGCTGGGAGGACAGGTCTGTCAGCACAGTGCTGGCCCTGCAAGCATGGGGTTCTGTGTTTGATCCCCAGCTCCCACATGAAATGCCTGCGATGGCAGCAGCCACATGCTGGCCATACCACAGCTGGAGACTCAGAGACAGTGGATCCCTTCCAAATCTGTCAGCTATCTTGACAAAAGAACCCTGCACCTCGCCGGGCCGGGCTGTAGTGGTGCATGCCTTTAATCCCATCGCAAAAACACAGAGAAACCTTGTCTCGAACTCCCCCCGCCTCAAAAAAAAGAACCCTGCACCAAAAAACCAGCTAGGCAGCTCCTGAGGTCAATGTCTCCATTGACCTCTGGCCTCTACATGCATTCATATCTAGGATGCGTGCATGCCACACACACATAACATACACAAGCATCCATGCACATGCACACAGAAGCCCAGAAGGAAGAAAGACTGCTCATTCTGGGCTCTGGAGAGGCTCTGGCTTAGAGAAACAAATGGGAGGCAGACGCAGACAAGGTCACACAGAGGGTAGAGAGGAGAGCAGAAGATACAGAAAGTTAAACCCGAGGCACACTCTTATCTTTCAGGACTAAGAAAAGGGAGAAAGAAACAAGTCATGGTGACTCATGCCTTTAATCCCAGCACTCAGGAGGCAGAGGCAGGCGGATCTCTGAGTTCAAGGCCAACCTGATCTGCGAAGTGAGTTCCAGAACAGCTGGGGCTACACAGAGAAACGCTGTCTTGAAAAACTAGGAAAAAAAAGAAAAGAAAAGGGAGAAGGTGGTTCTAGATAAGTAGGTAGAGAAGGAGCAGCTAGTGAGGCAGGAAGGTGACTCCAGAGTCCTGGGAGCAACTGAAGAAAGTGATGAGGACAAAAAGGATGGGTCAAGCAAGAATGGAAAATGAACCCTCAAGTCTGTCAACATCAAAGTCGTTGGGGACCTCAGGAAACATGGTTTTGATGTCACAGTTGGGACAGAGGCCTGCTTGGAGTGTAGAGAGAATAGAAGTGAGGAAGTAGAAACAGTATAGATGTGTCTTTTCCTTTTTTAGAGATTTATTATCATTTAAAATCTTTTTATTTATGTTATGAGTGCTTGCCTGTGTGTGTGTGTGTGTGTATATATACCGCAAGCATTTCTAGTGTCCACAGAAGCTAGAAGAAGGTATCAGCTCCCCGAGGAGCTGAGTTATAGATGGTTGTGAGCAGCCATGTGGGTGCTGGGAATCAAACCCAGGCCTTCTGGAAGAGTAGCCAATGTTGAGCCATCTCCTCAGCTACTATTCTTATCATTTAAATTTTTTGTGGTGTGTGTGTGTGTGCATGTGTGCAGGTGCTCATAGATTACAGGGACATCAGATCTTCCTGGAGCTGGAGTTGGGAGCCACAGGATGTGGGTTCGGGGAATCAAACCCAGGTCCTTTGCAAGATGCCCTCTGTGTTCTGAGCCATCTCTCCAGCACCACCACCCCTAGTATAAATTGGCTGTTGTTGTTTGTTTGAAATAGGGTCTCTATATGTGTTGTCCAGACTAGCCTGGAACTCACAGAGATCCACCTGCCTCTGTCTCCCAAGTGCTGAGATTAAAGGTGAGCATCACCATGCTCAGTATAGATATTTTTAAACTGTGGTTAAGTGTGGTTAGCAGACAAATGGTGACGTGAATGAGGGGGAATGGAAGGGTTTTTTTTGAAGATGAGTTTTTATATCCCATTAGTATGCTGATGAGAACAATCCCCTTGAGAGAGAACATTTGATGATGCAGATGAGAGGGTAATTGCCGGAGTGATGCCTGTAATAAGCAAGAGGGGAAGAGAATCCTGTACAAGGGGAGGGGCTGGCCACAGACAGACATGTGGATGGTCCATTCACAGCACATGGAGGGAAGACATCATGTGTGGGTCTGCTCAAGGGAAGTAGGTATTTTTGGTGTTGGATAAGGACTATTTTCTGATTTCTTTATTCTAAGTGGGAAGAAAATGATGTCATAAGCTGAAAGTGAGATGTGGGAAGAGCCACGTGGAGGCCTGGGAAGAGAGGATACGTCATGTAAGCAACCACAAGGATTAAGAGCATTGGTTCAGCATGGTGGTGCACCCCTTTGATCCCAGCTCTTGGTGGACAGAGGCAAGTGATTCTTTTTAAGTTCGAGACCAACCTTGTGAATTCCAGGACAGCCAGAGCTATGTAGAGAACCTGTCTCAAAAAACAAAAAATGAGAGAAAGAGAGACTGAGCCACACCTAGTTTCTGTGCAGTGTTTAAACCCAGGGCTTCATGCATACCCAGAAAGCATTCTACCCAATGAGCTACATCCCCAGCCCCTCAAGTACTGCTAAATGATGAAGATACATTCTGAGAGATGTGTCATTAGGCAATTTTATTTTATAGAGTTTACTTAATGATTATGGTGTCACTAGGTGATATAATCTTAAGGGACTTCCACCCTATGAATGGCCCATCATTGATAGGAATGTCATTTTATCTGTGCATGACTATAAGGTTGAATGAAATCACAGAGGCAGGACTCTGATCTGATAGGAGTTATGTCCTGTGTGTGTGTGCATGCGTATGTGTGTTATACACATTTGTGTGTGTGGCTGGATGTACCCTTGTGCATGCATGTGGAAGACAGAGAATGAGTCTGATGTCTTCCTCTATTACTCTTTATTTTAGTTTATCTTAGTGATTTTTGTTTGGCTAGTTGGTTTGGGTATTTTTGTTTTGTTTTGGGTTTTTGTTGTTGTTGATGTTGTTTGTCTTTTTGAGACAAGGGTTCTCTGTGTGGTCCTGGCTGACCTGGAACTCTTCTGTAGATGAGGCTGGCCTTGAACTCAGAGATCCACCTGCCTCTGCCTCCTGAGTGCTGGGATTAAAGGCATGCTCTACCACCACCACCCAGATGTTTTAGATTTTTGTTTTTTTTTGTTTGTTTGTTTGTTTGTTTTGAGAGAGAGAGAGAGAGGGTATCTGAGTGAATTGCTTACTTTTGGCTAGGTTAGCTGCTGGCTAGTAGAGCTAGAGCCCTATCTCCACCTAACCCTCAACACAGGTTACAGGATGTGTAGCCATCCCCAGCTTTTCTGTGGGTCCTGGGGATTTGAACTCAGGTCCTCTTGCCTTCACAGTAAGTGCTCTTACTCACTGAGCCACCTTCAATAAAGCTGTCCTTTATTTTATATCATTTTTAAGACTGGTTCTCAGGGCTGGAGAGATGGCTCAGTAGTTAAAAGCACAGACTGTTCTTCCAGAGGACCTGGGTTCAATTCCTAGCACCAACATGGCGGCTCACAACTGTCTATAACTCCAGTTTCAGGGGACCGGACACCCATGCCAAAACACCAATGTACATAAAACAGAAATAAATATATTTATATATATAAAAAAAAAAGACTAGTTCTCACTATGTAGCTTCTAACTCGTGGAGATCTGCCTTCTCTGTCTCCCAAGTGCTGAGATGAAAGGCATGGGCCGTCGTGAGTCCTGTCCTTTAAGATGAGAGAGCTCATGAGAGAGCTCAAGGCACTCGCTCTCTCCACCTGCCTTCTGTCAGTGCGTGCTCTCAGGAAACACCATGGGGAGAGAGTGAGTCCTTAGCAGAAACCGAACTCACCAGAACTTTGATCTTCAACTCTGGCCTTAGAACTGTGAGAGAATAAATTGATTATTTCAGCCATTCGGCATGTGGTATTTTGCTATGACAGCCTAAGCAGACTAATACAAGTTTCAAAAACGATGCAGATCTAGTCTAACATCCCACAAAGGTCCAGACTATACGTCAGTGTTGGTTTTGTTTGCCTTTGGTTTTTTTTTTAATGGATGGTCTGAACTCTTAGACCAGGCTGGCCTGGAACTTTCAGTCATCCTGCCTCAGCCTCCAGCCCTGGAGGCTTACATCATATGACTCTACAGCCAGCTTACATCAGAGTGTCTATTGTGATGGAACACAGAGTAACCTGAGAAGCCAAGGAGGTGATGGTATGGAGGGCTCAGTGGTAGGGAGGGGTGGTCTCTGCCGCTGGGAGTGGTAGGGAGTGCTGGTAATGGCGCCCACTCTGCCTCATTACGATAAACTCAGTGATTAAGGTGGTT